GCTGAAAAGTTTGGGAACCACTGCACTTCAGAAATCAGTTTAAAGGGTAATAAAATAATTGGTGATGTAATATTTTTCCTATAATTATTACAAAAACAAGTAAAAATAGTATAAATAAGTATTTATATTTGTGTAGCCTTTGTTTTTAGGATTATTAACGAGGTTCATGTACTCAGACTAGTAATATTTGGGGTCACAAGTTTTTGCCATGAATATTTTGTGGGTCAGAAGATAAAAAGTTTGGGAACCACTGCATGAAGTGCATGAAAACATTCTGTCAAAATGTAAAAACAAGAAATAAAACTTTAAATGTGAGTTCATTTTCTTGTTTTACAAAGATTTTTTATTTGAACTAAAAGGACATTTTGAAGTCACATATTAATAATAATAATTTCATCCTGAAGAGTCATGACGGGTGAATCAGATCAGTGCTCTGAAGTCTCATGTGTTCATGTAGGACTGGTCTGTTCACAGAGGTGATGAACTCGGACTGCATGTCCGACCGGGACTACCAGGGCTGGGTGGACTTCGGACGCCGGGGAGCAGAATGATGAGCATCTCCGACGACAAAAAAAAAAAAAAAAAAGGCATGGGAGCTCGTCTTAACTGTTTATAGTTCAGGTTGTACAGGGAGGGAGAACTTCCTAAATAAATGTGCAGAATTATTCCAACGTTTGAGTGTTTGTTTGTTTTTATGTGTTGATTTCAGACCAAGACACATTCAGGATGAAAATGCAAAGTTTTTTTTTTAATTATTYACAGGTGGTAAATTTACACACTGACACAGAACTACATCAGAATACAGCGAAGAGAAATACACAGAAACAAAGTGCAATAATAAAACCTGTTTTCTATTCCCTTCTAAATCCACAGTATCCTATGCCTTTTGCTACAGCTGTTTAATGTTTACTTATTAACCCCGACTGAACAGGACTCCCTGTGAATGCAGCATGACTGTGATCAAACAGAAATCCCTGATGAGGCGACATACAGCAGATTTATACAACAGATTGTTTGGAAAAGTCTTATTGATGCAGAATAACAAACCCSATTTGGTTTCTCAGGGGTTTGGCTTCAAGAAAAGTCCACTCAGGTGAAAAACTGCAGAACACAGAAAAAAGAAATGCTCACTTCCGTCGTTTCAACTCTTTTTTTTTTTAAACATGCTGTTTTCAAAGTAGCAGGAAGACCAGAGTGCTTTAGTGCATTTGGATTTTCTTCAGTGTGACATTTACTGCATGTAGTCTTTTTTTATTTAAATATTCAACTATTTACAAAAAAAACTGAAGAAATAAAAAATAAAAAATAAAAATAAACATGTTTAGGTTTTTAAAACCAGGGATGGAGAAATATTTAAAATGATATTCACAGAACAAAGTATAAAATGATTTATTTTTTCCGTGTGTGTGTGAGAGAGTGGTAATCATCTCACACTGTTTACGGTGGTACTGTACACAACCTACAAGTCAAGTATGGCTACAACACATTCTGTGGCTTTTTGTTTCAAAGACACGGCTGCTGCGGCGGGTCGGGGATCTCATGGCTTCGTAGAAAGTCACCGTGGTGAGGGAGGAGGAGGAGGAGTGATCCGGGAACAYGTCACACTTTTGAAGGATGGTGTTGGACCCTGTCCCTCCTCATCCCCCAGGCTGCCACCCTGTGCAGCCCGAGGCTCTGCAGCTTCTCCACCAGGTTCAGGCTGAAAACGTTCCTGTTTGGGTCCGAGGGTGAGCCTGCGGGTTTGTGTTTCAGTGTGGCGCACGGAGGCGGCGCACCGCGGCTGTAGCGGAGGTTGCGGTGTGGGTGGGGGCAGGCTGAGATGCTGCGCTCCTGCAGCAGCTGCAGGAGGCCCAGGGAGGAGGTGGAGCCCGTGGTGGAGAAGTGATGCGGGTGGGAGGAGCCGGGGGGCGGGGCGCTCATGAGCTCACAGTTCCGACAAGGTGGCAAGTTGAAAGAGCGAAGGCTGGAAAACAAAAAYATAAAAACAGGTAAAAATACGATGCATATCGCCAGCACCTTTCTGTCATGTGTTAGTGCTTCAAGTAGATGTTGAGGATGACTCTCAGCTACTACCACACCACATTTCAGCTCAATATCTGACACTGACACAAGGTTTTTGTTGTTTAAAGGTGAGCCAGCTGCGGCGGCCATTTTAAATTTTCATTGGCTCTAAAATTGGCTCAAAATTCATCAAGTRGTTAATGAGATATTTTGCTAACAGAAAGACGAACRCTAGTTAATGWCAAAATTCAGGATATRTGTTGGGGATCMGTCTCAGCTACGACCACTGAAAATTTTAAGCATTTATCTCTAAAACTGACTGAATTACAACCATTTTTGTGTATTTTAAGCTGGCGGCCATCTTGAATCAGCTTAACTCCAAAGTTACTCATTTGTTAAGATTTATTTTTAAAAGCAGATMTTTTCTGTCCAGCAGTTTAAGAWATATTTTGCTAACAGACACATGCACACATGARCTTTCATATTTCTGTGGAGGACAARCATGCGCACATTTATACAGAAGTAAAAAACATTGGGTTAGTTTTGTGCATTATCAATAAAAAYGAAGAAGTGTGTTAGTGATAAAACTGAGGTTTTGTTTTATTATTAAAAAAAACTAAAAAGAAACCAAACATTTTTAATGACCAACCATGATGGAGTTTGATCAAAAGACATTAGATTTAGTGTTAGTAGGGGATCAAAGAGGCTCAGAACAGATTTCTTTTAATTATTAATTGAATCTATGTTTAATGCTCTTGAACTGTACGAGATAAAACAAATTACACATGGTCTGCTTTGTCAAAGCCACAGTTACAGACAATCTGATCAAACAAGGACACAAACAGCAAATAGCTGCACTTCCTGTGTTTTTTTTACTGAACCCAGGCTGGAAGAACAAAACTGAGCTTTTTAGAGTTTCAGTTAAAAGACGTAACGTTAGTGAGAGTCAGCGAGAAGCAAAGCTGAGTTACTGACTGTTGTGAAGCGTGTCACAACCACAGACAAAAATCCTGGGAGGGGTTGGAAAAACAGAGACACCCCCCTCCCCTCCCCAAAAATCATTTGAGAAAACTATAATTTGAAGTAATTTAAGAAAACAGATTCAAGCACTCRTTTGTGACAGGTCGTCATTAGTAAAGCGGTAAGTTTCCCAGGAAAACGGAGCTTGATAAGCAGACAGGAAGTGACATCATCAATAATTAATCTACTTCCCTCCCAGTAATGAAACAGAATTCCCACCCCTGGTCACAAAAAAGAAGCACAGAAGTAATAAAAAACTAACAGGGGTCATAAAACTCGCATTTTTAATCAACAAAAAGACTAAATGTAACTTTTGCAAAGACGAAACARAAATTTACAGTTTGAAGAGAAGCAAAACAGAAGCATTCCAACTGTGAAGCACGGTGGAGGGAGCACCATGAAATGGGCCCAAGAGTTTTAGTAGATCAGTAAGTTTTTATTTAAAAGCAGTCAGGGCATCAGGTCAGGAC